CAACTAATACAAGGATGAACCTAATAGATGAAAATTTGGCTACTAGAGAATAAGTTTCTACATAATATATGCCCTCTCTTTGAGTAAATCCTTTAGCTACCAACCTAGCTTTATATTTATCAATGGATCCATTTGTATTAAACTTTTTCTTTATGACTCATTTGCAGGCTTTTCTATCTTTAGGGAAGTCAACCAACTCTCAAACTTAATTTCTTTTAATAGAATCAAGTTCATCATCCGTAGCTTGAGTCCACTCAACTGAATCATGTGAGCTAATAGATTCACTAAAGCTTCGAGGCTCATCTATTGTATCCTCACTCATTGAAGAGTAATTATCTTCATTCATAAATACATAAAATTCTTCCAAACTAGCAGGTGGGGCTCTAGTTTTTTTAGGCCTGTCTGGAATACAATCATTCTCACCAAATGTAGAGGGAGTCTGAGAAACAGGGTATTTCAGACCCTTATCTTTATCAATTTCATATAAGTCAATAGGTTTAGTTAAAATATTTTCATGATCTATATTTTTTAAGAAATGAGCACCACGACTCTCTATTAATGATAGAGTATCATGGTTATAGAATCTATACCTTTTAGAATTTTCTGAATAGCTTATAAAAATGCATTTTATAGTTTTACTTTGTAATTTATCTCTATTTTGTGGTGGTATAAGCTCCCAAGAACCCCAAATTTTCAAGATAGTAAGGTCAGGTTTCCTACCTGTCCATAATTCATATGAGGTCAAGTCTATAGATTTAGTTGGGACACTATTAATGATATATATTGCAGTGTTGAGTGCCTCACCCCAAAAATGAGGTGATAAATTTGAATGGCTCATCATGGACCTAACCATGTCCATTAGAGTTCTACTTCTCCTTTCCGCTACACCATTTTGTTGTGGTGTATATGGCATAGTTGTTTGGTGAATTATACCATGCTCTTTACAAAATTCGAAAAATAAGATGGAGCAATATTCACCTCCCCTATCTGTTAGAAAAATTTTAATGTCTACCTAACTGATTTCCTACCTCAGCTTTATATTCTTTAAATGTTTCTAATGCGTAAGATTTCTTACTAATTAGGTATACATATCCATAACGTGAATAATCGTCTATAAATGTTATGAAATATTTCATACATCTATGTGTTTTCACATATAATGGGCCATATAAATCAGAGTGAACAATACTAAGTAGTTCTTTAGACCTTTTCTCTTTAGGGATAGGCTTCTTAGTTAATTTACCAGAAATACATAGCTCGCATGTTTTGAACACAATTTCTTCTAAATTTGAGAGCACCTCTTTTAGCCATTTGATTCATTTTGTTTGTATTTATATGTCATAATCTTAAGTGCCATAAATATGGATCATCCATACACATAAAAGCATCAAAAGAGGCATCAATATAATCAGAAAATGATGAACTTTCATTAATATTCAGTCGGTACAAATTGTCAACTTTATAATGCTTTAAAATGCTTCCCAATGGTAACCCGACCTGACCTGAACTTTATTTTCATAATCCTTGTCGTTCAGTCTAGGGAAAAAGATCAAATTACGCTTCATATTGGGCACATACAATGTATCAGTTAATAAGAGATTTGTTCCTCATGGTAAACACAGTTTGAAAGTGCCAACACCTAGTATATCGTAGTAGGTGTCATTTCCCATATAAATCCGCTGGTTACCGGCAGCAATCTTTTTCAATTCTGTGAATCCGTCCTTGGTCCTCGAGACATGTCGAATGGAGGCTGAGTCGACCCACCAATTTCTCAGGTCATGATCGGCAACTATTGATTCTAAGACTACGCAGATCAAGTCATTTATCTTATTTTGATTATTTCGAGTAGGGTTGTTATTTTGGTTCCTATTTTTATTTTTCAGCTTAGAACAATTAAACTTGATGTGCCCAATTTTCTTACAATAAAAACAGGCCTTCTCAACTTTATTCTTTTGATTTTTAAAATTTCTCCCCTTTCCCTAATACTTATTATTTTTCTGATAATTGAAAGGTTTCTTGAGAATCTAAGAAGATGAACTTTGGGGAAAGTGGGGCTCAATTGACTTCTTCCTCATTTTTCTCTCAACTTCAATGCTAAGATGCATGGGAAGATTTAACATGGTTATCCCTTGTGCAGAATGGTTTAATGTAATTACAACGGACTCCCAAGATGGAGGAAGATTGTTAAGGACAATGGATACTTGTATGCGATCGGGGATTGGATTCCCGGCTGCAGCAACGTCTTTTGCGAGCACTGTCATTTTATTGACATGCTCGGTCACTGAGTCCGTTTCTTTCATTCTGCAAGAATTGTATTTTTCTAACAACAATTGTACATGGGTATCAGAACTGGTCCCATACTTTTCAAATAGGGCGCCCATCATACTTTGAGCTGTGGTGTAATCTTCAACGACTCTAATTAAATTATCTTCCATGAAGCTCAACATAGTAGTCCTAGCTACTTTGTCAACTTCTAACCATTTTTCAAGTCGCCTTCTAGTTTGACCATTGGCATTAGGCTCTAAAACTGGTGGTTCTGTTTTTAGGGCATAATCTACCCTATCATGGAAAAGCATATATCCAATTTTTCTTTTCCACATAGAAAAATTGGTCCCATTGAGTTTTTCAAGTTTAGATAGGTCTGACATGACTAGCCTAGATGTCATTTTAAATTTTAGATAATACCTAAAAGTTCAAAAAATTTAATTGTGTTTAAGAAAGGGTTGTCTGCTAGTTAAATCAATAGGTTTGCTGACTCTCAATGAGCTGAGACCTCAAAAAAAAAATTTCCCGAACGGTTTATGTTCGCACTGCTATGATGCAACAAAAAATTAATAAAGTAAGGCAACAACTACTTTATGTCAAATCTTGCATAAGAATCAGTTTCATAAATATATGAATATATTTTAGCACAAGAGAGAGAGTCTATAATGATATTTGATATTTTCAACAAAAATATGGCATTGCATAGTCATAAAAATAATGAATTCACAAAATCAAGATCATGAAATTTTCTAACTTAAAAAGACCCAAGCATAAGATAACTATGGAATGGAATGATAATTATTATGTAAAAGAGGTCAAAACATAGGATAATTATGCATGGTAATGAATTACTATGCAAAAATAATATGTGAAAGAATCTCTAAATTATAGACCAAGTAAAATAATTAATTATTGGCAGTAGTTATACATGTCGGTCTCTCTCTAAAATTCCAGCAGTAGTTCTATCTTGCTCTCTCTAAAATTTTAACAACTTTTTATTATTATTATTATTATTATTATGACTAATTTTAGCAACCTTTTATTATTATTATTATTACACCAATTTGCTTTGGCCGAGTGGTTAAGGCGTTGCTGGCTAAGAACATGAGGTTTCCAGAGAACAAAAAAAGAACTTGTGCGTACTCTTTTAGGCAAAAGTAAAAGTCCTGATATTCAATTAAATGCAGTGAATTTCACTGTGATATTAAATGGAAAAGAAAAAAAAAAAAATCAAAAGATGAAATAGAGGTCTTGGAAAAAATATAGTGAACTTGCTTGTGGGTAAAACACGGCTACCCCAATCTTTAGTTTAACAGCAGAGAGAGAGAGAAAAAAAATATGCAGATAAAGATTAGGGTTAAAGATTATTATTATTTATGTATATAAAAAACCCTAAGAAGGATAGCTACTATCAACTATTATCCAAAGATAAACTGGATGAATGAAGATTAGGGTATATTGTAATTAAAAAAAAAAAAATCCACAGATTACCGATTATCCACAAATCAACTAAGAAGGATAGCAAATATCAACTATCATCTGTGTATACTGTATTAAAAAAAAAATACAGTGGATGAATAGAATTAAGAAAAAATATCACGATCAGTATAAAAGAAATATATATATTTAGTCTTGATGATGAGCAAGAAGTAAAAGCAGAGATAAAGAACAATTCAATGATTTATTCTCTCTGTCTTTGCGTAATTTAGGTTGCAAAGTTAGATTAAAAAAAAATATAATAATCGACGAACACGAATTAAACATGAAAATAATATAAAGAGAACAAGAATAAAATAAAAAATAAATAAATGAATAATGGAACCTGGGAACTGTAGGTTACGAGTCCACCACCCTTCCACAACCCGCTCTGATACCAATGTTGAAAAACTTGAGGGAAGAGATGGAACCACTCACGCTTCCACAACCCGCTCTGATACCAATGTTGAAAAACTTGAGGGAAGAGATAGATCCACTCCCATGATTGAGGGCAGCATCGTGAGACTGTCGATCGTAGAGATCAGGCTTTTACCAAAATTGTAAGAACTTTGTAAATTTCTGTGTGCCTCTCCATAGCCATGAAACCTTTAAAGAGTGATAGAGGAGGTCATTCTCTAACGTTGGCTTCCTCCTGAAATCTTTGAGAAAACGTGGCCTTGTAATCTTGGGAAGTGGGTGGTTAGGTTCTAGCCGTTAAATAACGAAACTTTCTCCTTCTAAAAAGCCTCCTTATTTTAGTGATAAGCATTAAATTATAAGAGAGAGAAATGTTGCAAGTTTAAAAATTCGATGGCTACGCACGTACCAACATAATATCCTCCTAAAAAGTTCTTTTGACTGAAAGAGTAGAACTAAGGTATATGCTCCCTCGGGAGGATAGTATATCTGCTCAATTCCTTTACTTGAGGCGTTCCCTCTTGTTTTCTTCTCTTTCCAAGGATTTTCAAATTTACGTTATAACGGGCATCTTATTTTAACAAGAATAATGGAAAATGCCCGTATAGGCTCCAATCACTAGGGCCGTTAACAGGCCTAGCTTTCCATGGCCGTAAATAGTGCAGGCCCATGCTTGGCGCAGGTCTGAAAATTTAGTTCTGGACCAGGTGCTGGCCTGGACCGGACACATTATGATGAAGCCTTAGCCCGGCCCAAGTTGAAAAAAATGGAAACCATTCTGAGTCCTCCATAAATCTGAAAAAATATATATCTCAGGCCTAACAAACCCCCACAAGTCTAACCTGTGGGGCTGAAAATGGGCTGAAACCAGGCCCGGCTTGACCCAGATAGGATCCTTTAGCAGCCCTACCATCACAACCTTGTGATTCAACATTTTATCCATAGACCAGCTGAGGTTTTAGGACCACAAAAAATGAAAAGAAAAAATATCAAAAAAGATTAAAACAAAAAGTATAATCAGAACCAAAAGTAAATGTTTACAAATAATGGAAAGCAGGAGCCTATGATACAAGATGTAACGTATCGAACAGCCCCACCTCATATTTACACGTTCCAAGAAGACCGATAGTTTTAGTCATATACTCGTAATTAACTTCACCAAGTTACAAAATTCTGGATGTTTTACTTGTATCCATCCCTTTATTTCTTGAGATAATATGTTTAAAATGATTCAAACGGGGTGGATTATTCTTTAACACCAAGCATATGTTGCTTGGTGTTCAAAAGCCTTCCCTTTCAATCGTAAATGGACAATGACACCAATTTGTTGAATGCAAGTAAAAGCACGTGTTGTTGTTAATCGTAAAGGATTTTCCGATGGCTTTCCTCACAGCCTTTCTGAATAATTCCCGGAGGGTGAGGGTATGTTTCTTTTGAGTTAATTACGTGCAGACTTTATATAAGAACGTTTGTTGTATGTTCCGTTATTATTTTGAATTAATTACGTACATATATAAGTATATAAAATACAATCTGCTCCGTTTATAAGTGAATATTACAACTAAGGTCGGTTTGACTGATTTTTTTTTACAAAATTATCCCTCGGTCCCTGAACCACCTTTAAAGTTTTTTTTTAATTTTCATTCGTAGGGCACTGTCTAATGGGATTGGGGCACTTCCCATACTGTCCAAAGATTATATCCCGGGAGCGCTTTCTAATTCCCTTAAAACACGAAAAACCCAATTTTTGATCGCTCTCTCAACCTCCCTCTCTTTTTCTCTCTCACTTTCTCTCTCTACCGTCGACCTGCCCAAGATTTAATGCTAAGATCTTGGCACATTTCTGTAATATCGGCGTGAATTCAAAAATCTGGTGAGTCTTTTTTTTCTTTTATACCCTATTTTTCGGATTATTAGTTGTTTGGTTAGGGTTTTATATAGGGGAAGTATGATTATTACATTGTAAGTTGCCATTCAAAGGAGATGATTAGGGTTGCTAGAAGGAGAATATCACTTCACAATACAATCAAAAATAAGAAAAAAAATTGGTAGGAGAAATCAACAAAATCATGAAGTTTTCGTTTTTGACATATGAGGGTTTTTTTTTTATTATTATTGAATCTAGTGTAAAATCAATGGTTTTGGTGTTATATTTTCCTTCATACATGTAATTTATTTTTTAATTTAGTTATTCTGTAATGTATCATGCTCAATTTTTAATTGGTCTTAGAAATTTACCAAAATTATCATGAAATCATGAGTTAGGGTTTAATTTGAATGAAAATGCCAATTTTTCTTGGGTTTTATTGGGATTTTATCTTCTTTAAATGCATTACAGTGGATTTTCTGGTTTTTGAATAATTTTGGGGCCGGGACTTTAAATTTATTTAAAATGCATGAATTATATTTGATTTATTGAGATTAGTGTTTTGATTTTATTATGAAAACGTGAAGAAAATTTGAATGAATGGTTTATGACTAGAATTATTGAAGTGACTTGGCCCCGGGAAGGTAATTAAAAAAACAATACAAAATAAAAATTACTTGCAAGATGTAAATAAGGTTGATCACTCTGTGCATTCAAACATAAATTTCAAGTAGCAATATTTGCATTCCCAATTAGGCCGTGCTTTTTTCTTTGGTAAATCCCATTATTCCAGGATTCAGCCTTTGCTACTACACAAGAAGTTGTACATTCATAATGCACATATGCACAATGCAGACAACAGTTTTTGTACCTTTGAATTTTATTTTATTTTTACAGTGTTCCTTAAATCTTATTAATCAAAGAAAACTAATCAAAGAAAACTAATCGAAGAAAAATTGAATGGATGGTTCATGATTTGAAAATAGTGTTTTGATTTGATTATGGCAAGATGAAGAAAAATTGAATGGATGGTTTTTTATTTGAGAATAGTGTTTTGATTTGATTATGGGAAGATGAAGAAAAGCTGAATGTAAAAGTTGAGAATAATTTCTTTGGTTTTATTTTCCATTGAAATATGGGAAAGCTTTCTATGTTCCCCTACAACATAGAAGTTCTATCCTCCCCTTTATCCAGCTGTTCATTTTTTAATAGAGGGCTAAGATTGCCCCAATCACAATGTCACGTCTCTAGACTATTTTATTTTTATTTTTTTCTATTAACTATTTTGACATCAAATTTTGGACGTCCAATCCTCTATTAAACTCGCACTAGAGAAAAATATAAAAAAATATATATATATTCAATAAAATAAAATAAACAAAATACCCCTGAAAGATTCAAAATGTATTTTTGTTCTTTTTTTATTGAAAATTTATTGTTAATATTTTTTATAGGTGCGCCCCAATGAGAAGATGGCATGTACCAAATTTCATATTCAGAAAATTTGTATTAAAAAAATAAAAATAAAGTACTTTAAGATGTCAGATCTAAGATCGAACGGTGAGTGGCTCTCTTGATCAAAAATAGACGGCTGGATGGTAGGGGGAGGATAGAACTTCTATATTGTAGAGGGAACATAGAGAGCTTTCCCTTGAAATATAACATGTTATATTCTTTTCTAATTGATGGACAGTTTATGTATTGTTTATCTTAGGATATTTCACTTTAATTTCATGACTCTTTTTAAACCCTTGTTATTATGTAGAAATGATGAATGTTCACTAAGCATTGCACAATATGAGAACAATATTCAATCTCAACCATTATATTTTCAAAAATATACAATTCCAACAGTTGCCTTCAATGATAGTTGTTTCCTCAATTAAGTTCTTTAGTACTAGTCAAGTAAACCAATATAAATGATTTTAGTGCATTCACTATATTATGATGCATGTAGTAAGTCTATTTTCTTAAATTGGAATATAGTGCTATAGATAAGGTGGAAAATCAAGGGAATAATGCTGGAGGATTATAGGACGATGTACTATTGTACCTGAAAGAGAATCACATCTCTGAATTGGTGTCTCGAGGAAAGGTAGAGACAAATGCCATCATTTATGTCAGTTTTTTATAGGATGATGTATAGTAATAAAATGCACATCATATGAATGTTGTTAACAATCTACACATTAAAGTGTCATTGTTGTTTTTAGGCGAGACCAAGGATTTACATCGACGAGTCCTATTCTGTTGCCAGGTCATGGCCCATTATAGAGGAGTAACATGCAATTGTTGAGAGGGTGGGGTTGTTGCCATTGGTTCAACTAGCAGAGCTCGAACCTAGATATATTGATCATCCATTGATGATTACTATGACGAAAAAGTGACATCTCGAGAGGAACGCCGCACATCTGCCGATATGCATCGGAGAAATGATGTCCACATTGTATGATGTATGGCGGATACACAGGCTGAATGTCACTGGTGATCCCGTGCTAACCAGGGATTGCTGGCCATATACGACATACATAGACGAGTGGCTGGGGAATTTCCCAGAGGATCGTCAATTGCATATCTAAGTTCAATTAGTTGAGGAGTAGAATCGTTGAGATACCTAAGAATGAAACACAGGTTGTAATAGACCAACACACGACGGCTTATTTGCTCTTCTAAGTCGGTCACACCATCTTCTCCAGTGCGAAAGGCAATGAAGTGCCAACGAGATACTAGACTTTGTTTGAAAACTTCGAACGCATGGGATTATATGCCTGAGGGCCGCGGCTCTAGCATACCTATTTCAGTAGCTTTAGAAGTCTGCAACATTAAAAGCTGATGAAGTCCCACACCATCACCTAAATGGCTTTTCCACCTTATTTCAGGTTAAAATCTTAGTTTTATAATATATGAGCTCCTCTTTTTAACCACCACAAAAATCACTTTTTATGTTTAATGAATTTCGTTATGTATGTTGCGCAGTCATGGCCATTAGAACATATAAAAACTCTCCGGCTTTATCTAAAAAAAAAGAGTTATCCGCACTGGGGATGGAAGTCTCCAATTCACAGTGAGAACCCAATTCACAACGAATCATACGCCAAGAACTCGATATGCTCATGCCTGAGAGGGTAATTCTAGTCGAGTATAAACTTATATACATTTTAATTATATTGTGGTGATAGTTGAATCATTTTGAGAGTGTTATATGCATCGTTATGAATTGTTTTGTAATTATAGTTAAATCATATTGTGGTGATAGGTGAATCATTTTGAGAGTGTTATATGAATCGTTATGAAGTGCTTTATAATTATAGTTGAATGATATTGTAATGATAGTTGAATCATTTTGAAAGCGCTATATGAATATTTTTGCAATTATCTCCGTAAGTACATTGGGACTCATATGTGAAAGAGAAAGACCACGGCCGTGAGGTCCAAGACATGGAAGTTTATAAAGAATATGTATATGGTATTGCGATGTACAATACTTATATTATTTTTGACAATACAGCATAGAGATACTTGCCGGATCGAGTATTGCGTCAATTTGGATTGACGCAACCCATTCCAAAGAATCCTGGTAGATGGCAGAGGGGAGAGAGGCATGGTAGGTTTGTAGAAAATTCGGAGGTAGAGCTGCAGGACCAGATCACTGGATGGAGAAATGCCATTGATAATTTTCAAGCAAGCGATGCGAACCTGAATGGTGGTTTGCCCTCATTGGAATATAGACAGTGGTATGCTTGGGTTTTTAGACCTAGGATTCATAACACTGACCTCGAGCGCACTGATAAATATGCCCCTTGGGGCTATGGTGATATTCTCGTATGCCTTTAACTTTATTTTATATTCTATTTATTATTATTTCATTTATTTATTTTATTGTATTTATTTTATATTTCATTTATTATTTCTTTTATTGCTACAGAGGAATGTATATTGCATGGCGATAGAGATGTGGGGCTCTGCACTAGCTGCCCCTAACACTGAAACGATATGTCAGTATGTGTCCACTGTTAGGAGGGACTTGATGATGGCTAAGGAGGGGA